TCAGGCTGACCTCAGTGCTGGGGAAGCTTGTGGAGCAGATTATCTTAAGTGCCATCACACAGCACTTGCAGGACAACCAGGTGATCAGGCCCAGTCAGCACGGGTTTACGAAAGGCAGGTCCTGCTTGACAAACTGGACGAGGAACCTGTCCTTCTGTGACAAGGTGGCACGCTCAGTAGATGAGGGAAAGGCTGTGGATGTTCCCTACCTACACTACAGCAAGGCTTTTGACAGAAAAGGACCTGAAGGTACTGGTCGACAGCCAGCTGAATATGAGCCAGCAGTGTGCCCAGCATCCTGGCTTGTACCAGGAATAGTGCAGCCAGCAGGAGCAGGGAGGTGATCGTCCCCCTGTGCTCTGCTCTGGTGAGGCCGCACCTCGAGTGCTGTGTTCAGCTTTGGGCCCCTCACTACAAGAAGGACAGGGAGGTGCTCAAAAGAGTCCAGAGAAGGGCTACAAAGCTGGTGAGGGGTCTGGAACACAAGTTCTGTGAGGAGTGGTTGAGGGAACTGGGGTTATTTAGCCTGGAAAAAAGCAGGCTCAGGGGAGATCTTACGGCTCTCTACACCTGCCGCAAATGAGGTTGTGACAGAGCAGGGGTCAGTCTCTTCTCCCAAACAACTATCAAAAGGAAATGCCATGTTGTGCCATGTGAGGTTTAGGCTGGATATGAGGAAACATTTCTTCACTGAGAAGTTGATGAGGCATTGGAGCAGGCTGCCCCGTGAGGTTGTTGAGTCACCATCCCTGGAATTATTCAGAAGACGTGTAGGTGTGGTGCTTAGGGACATGGTTTAGTGGCAGTCTTGGCAGTGCTAGGCTGGACTTGACAATCCTGGAGGTCTTTTCCAACCTGAATGATGTTATGATTGTATAATCTCACCATGTCTGAGGCAGCCTCATCAACACAGACACCACTCAGCTCAGCGAGCGGCACAGAACGAAGACAGAAGGATTAAAGATCTGGTAAGAACGCTGAAAACAAAGTAAGACAAGCTGGGCAAAAACAGAGATTTGATGCAAACCATAACAAATCCACAGAAGTTAAACAACCTTTCACCCAGAACTACCACAACAGAGCAGGAAGGCGAGCACATCAGAGAGAGATGGTAACGATGGCGACAACTCCACAACCAGGGTGCATCACAGGGAAGTAACACAATCAAATGGTGCCAGGATCTATTTGCAGAGCCCCACAAATCAAGCCATAGTAGAAGTGGCATTTCAGAAAGATCAGAACGAGACATTACTATCCACAGCAAATATATAGTGTTATTTTTATCAGCTAGAGGAACAGATTTTACATACTACTTTGATTATTTGCATGTTGATGTTATAATATATGTTGCCACAGCTGAAATGACGGGAAGCACTTAAAGTGACAGCTCTTCCCTGGGAGGAAATAAAAAGAATTGCCAGTAAAGTACAGCTACAACAACTCCTTTGCCTAGGGAATGTGAGTTGTTGGCTTCAAATTTGCCTAGCTCAACTCAGAGTCTGGTGATTCATTTGCAAAAAGTGTGACACTAAAAAAAAAATAAAATTGGCTATTCTACAGAAGAAATATTTATTTCACTCATCTGGAGCCTGTCAGCATTGCCATTTTTCATTGAGAATGTACACCAAAGTGAGAAATCCTTGTTCTTTAGAAACATTTATAAATAACTGGAGAGGGGCTGGCTACACCTCCTTTCCCACACGTTTTCTGCTCAGCTCACAGTTAATATCCTTCTCCCTAAAACAATGCTGAGAAAAGCAGTAGGCCAACTTGAGCAGAACAAGTGCCAGTCTCCTGACAATCTGAACCACTCCTTGGAAGTCATCCTTCCCTGCAGCCAGAGGTAAGTTGCCTCACTCTGCACTCTCCAGGGTCAAGAGTCTCCTCGGCAACAATTTGCCCTCCTTTTGGCAAACAGAAAAGCCCAGCTCACAAAAAGGCACAGTTGGATGGTTTTGAAGACATTGACTACCAAATGGGATAAATCTCAAGACTATCCAGATTAAAGAACAACAGTATTTTATTATGAGAAATTGCACAATGTGACTTGAGTTCAAAGCATTTCTTACATCCTAACGTATCAAACTGTATGCAGTGGTAATTTAACTTACTTACTGTACCAACATATGACTGAGTACAGTCATACGTAATCCATGCGTATTATTACATTTCTAAGAGTTGTAATAGTAAAATGGTCAATAAATACCATAGTTGATGAAAATGTAGGAAAAACAGGAATGGCATCAGTTTGACAGTACATTACTAAACTACCTGCTTAATTTTCTATTGGTGTAAATATTAAGCCTGAATCTTCCCTTTGTTCCCACTCCTGTGATGCCTCAACCAGTACACCAGCTACAACATGAACAAAAATGACATGCAAAGCAAATGCAGGACATGCCTCCATTCCTTGCTGTGGGTAAGGGAGAAAAATCATTCAGAAGAGTTGCATCATTTGGCATTCTGGACATTGCTGAATGATGGATCAACTTCAAAAAGTTTTTAATTTTAATTCCTTTCAAAATTAAAAGTAACCATCTCCCCTTAAAATTGGGTGATTTTTAACAACTCATACCAGAATTTGTATTTATTATAGCCTATAAAATTTCAGAAATATATTGAAATAGTAAGTTTATGCCACAGAGTAAAAAACTCTTCCAATTCTCTGCTTACAACATAGATTAAGTTTACAATGCTTAATGCCAAGTTAGAGTTAAGTATGCACAGCATTAAGTCCAGCGTTACCAACTGTATTCTCGAGACAGCATCTACATAACACTTGAGAACTGCTTCAGCACTGAGTTCTTCATCAAACCCAGCCTAACCACTGCTACCTTACCAATGAGCCTGGCATGACAGACTAGCAGACAGTCTTTTGGTTCGTCAAGCACGTTACATCGTTACCTTGCCTGCAAACTTACAGATAAACCCACACTTCTCAGGAACAATTCTCTGCAAAAGATGTTATGACTGAGGTTATGAAACATGGCAGAAATGGACTTCGTGTTAAACTACAAGTACATCATCAATTCGAAACCCTCATTTAACTATATCTTAACTATATCTTAACTATCTTTAACTATAGTTAAACCATCGTTTAACTATATCTTAACTCTTAACTATATCCTCAACAGTTCAGTATCTTGAAGGATTTTCTTATTTCGTGTTTCAGCATTATGTTCCTTACATGGACACTGTCGAAGTTTTCCACAGTTGATTGTGAAAACCCACACCAACTTACATCACCATTGATTAGCATCCCTTCATGTTGAAATATTCCTAAATATGGTAAAAAGAGGATTGAGAAAACAGAAGTATTGGGTCTCCTTGAGGATGACAATGACCTATCTCCTGAAATCTAGAGGCAGCTTAAACTAATATTTTAAAATGTTTAACAGTAGTCTTAACATTGTTTTGACTAAAGAAGTGCACCCCTCAAAATCTGTGTACAAAGCTGACTCCGAGTGGTACACAATTCCAGATGACCAAGCTGCACAGCATGAGCATGCTAACAGGATTAGGCAGATGCTGATGACCAGAGAGAAAAACTGAGAAATTTCTCCTCCTGAGCTCAGAGATGCTTATGCTCCTCAAAATAATGGCAAACAAGTTAGTCCCAGATGCGTTCACTGCAATCCATCATCCAAAATGATTCCGAAGTCATTTCCAACCATTACACAGCACTAATTAGCTGTCCAGGAGGCCAGAATTCACAGCTACCCCAGCAACACTATCAACTAGACCGATGCCCAGCTTCATATGAAACTAAGACTAGCTTTTGACTGCTCTCCTACTTCGGGAATCTGATTTTCAAAACAAAACGTTCTTGCTGAGCAGGAGCAAGAGCAGAGCACTCAACTTGCCTTCTGCGAAAAGAACTGTAAAGTAACACTACTGCTTGACAACTTTGGGAAGTTTCCCGAGAACACGAGAGCTTACTCTCCCAGCTGACGTTATCTTACAAAGCCTGCCAAGAAGTTCATCCAGATAATAGCGCATTCCCAGGAGGCCTCGGGGAAGAAGGGCCTGGGGACACTTTCCTGGAGACTTCACCATTGCTGCCTCCATGGCACAAATCCAGTTAAGCGATGGATAAAGGCAGCAAGTAGCTCTGCCACCAACTCCACTGTCTGCTGCTTCTTTGCTCTCCCTCAGGGCACTATGAAAGGGGGCCCACACAAAGAAGCTGGATTTATTGTCTGGGGAAAAGCAGCCCATAGCCCTCTACCTGCTTTTCCAAGAACAATTTGGAAGTGAGCGGTTATTTACTAGTGTTCATACGATACACAGAATAAAGCTTTTGAAAAATATCTACTGGAGTCTGTACTAGGCTGTCACAGCAGGTAAGGTGTTGGCAGCATCCCCTGTCCTCAAAAATAGCAAACAGCCCACTGAAGTACCAGTTGGGCACTACTACTCCACATCGTTAAACCTACAGTGCAGACAAACAGCCTCAGCTCTCTATAAGCTCCCTCAAGCAGCCTGATCTTCACCACTGCTAGACAGCTGCCTTAAGAAATAAGAAAACGAGCACTTTCCAGAACCTCGGCTATCAGTTTTTAATCTTACTAGTTCAAATAATTCTCACAGATATCACCGATGTTTCAGTCCTCTAACAGTCCACAGAAAATTGGCAAGCAGTGCAACATCTTCTTTGTTTTCAGCTGCCCAATTATGCTACAGGACAGTGAAACAATGAGGAAAAGCTATTTACTGCTCTTCAGAATATAGAATTGTTGGCTTTGTCATCAAGAAAATTACAAATTAAAGGGCAGCCTTGACCAGAAAAGACCGTGGCACACTTAATTATTCAACATGGGAAGAAACGGAGCTACGCCTCATTAAGATGCAACAGATTAACGATTCCTGATAACATACACACCGAGTCCGGGTAACACTCGCTTGTTTATGCACTAACCCTTTCCCCAGAGAAAAACACCTACTTTCCGAGCAGTTTTGAGTTGTGTTGGTTTTTTTTTGAAGGCCTGGAGTAACTGAATCGGAGCCCTGGCTTCTGCAGTTGGGTAAACAGCCAGAAACAACCGGTGCATTTGTGGCTGAGAGGGGCAGCAAATGTGAGGTTAATGAAGAGAGGTGTGCCCAGAAACATCGGCCGTGTCACTCTGCTGTGGGGAGGTAACAGGGGAGCTGGGTGCTGGTCCAAATAGGAGAAGTCAGTCTGTACCCTGCTGTATCACTCGGAATTACACCGATGGCAGCAGCAGGTACGAGCGGAGCCGTCTTACACAACCAGCCGTGCCAATTTTCGGGCTGCCTACGTGTGTTGTTTTGCCTCGGGTTGGGCCACACGAGCAGGCAGCAGGGATTTCACCCCCTCCCTCCCCCAAAACCGTACAACCTGGCCCTGAAACCAGCCAGGTGGGGCTGAGAGCTGCCCACAGCCCAGGCTGCACCCACCCAGAGGGTGCTTCGCGTTCAGGCAGCGGAGCCCAACCCGGGGCAGGGCGAGCTCCAGCCTCGGCCCCGCACCCCCCCTCCGGAGCCTCCCGAGGCCGGGCAGGGCCCGCAGCCACCGGGGCCAGGCCGCAGCGGGAGGGCCGGGGAGGCGAAGAGGAAGCAGGAGGGGAGAGCCCCGGCGGGGAGGGGGCTCCCGGGGCCGCCACTCACCCACATCCTGGTCGAAGGGGTTGGTGGCGAAGAGCGGCATGGCGGGGCGCGGCGCGGCCACCGAGCCACGGGCCCGCGGCTCCTTCCTCCTCCTCCTCCTCCTCCTCCTCCTCTTCCTCCTTCTCCTCCTCGTCCCGCCCGGGGTCGCCCCGGCCGCCGCCGCCTCCTCCCCGCAGGCCCGGCCCCGCTCCCTCCCCGCTCAGCACGCCGGGAAAGCGGGGCCGGCCCCGCCGCCACCGCCACCGCCCGGCCCCGGGCTCCCCCCGCCCCGCCCCGCTGAGCCCGGCCCCGGCCCCTGGTCCCCGTCACACGCCAAGGGGTGGCCCCAGGGGGCTCGCAGGGAGCTCGTTGTCCTGGGCTGGCGGTGGTTTAAGTGCTCGGGGGTGACTGGGGAGCAGGCTGAGGTCGAAAAATTAAAGGGCTAATGGCCGAGCTGGAGGCATCAGAAAGGGATGGAGAGGATGTGGGGGGCGCTGAGGTGGGCTGGAGCAGCTCTCCTTAAAGACAGGCTGAGGGAGGTGGGGGTGTTGGAGAAAAGAAGGCTCTGGGAGACCTTATAGCGGCCTTCCAGTGCTTAATGGGGTCTTATAAAAAGGATGGAGAAGGACTCTTTACTCAGGTAGATCACGATAGGAAAAGGAGGAATAATCTTAAACTAAAAGAGGTTAGATTTAGACTAGATGTTATGAGGAAATTCTTCACTCAGAGGGTGGTGAGGCACTGGCACAGGCTGTCCAGAGAAGCTGTGGCTGCCCCATCCCTGGAGGTGCTCGAGGCCAGGCTGGATGGGGCCTTGGCCAAGCTGATCTGGTGGGTGGCGTCCCTGCCCATAGCAGGGGGTTGGGACTGGGTGATCTTTAATTTCCCTTCCAACCCAAACCATTCGATGATTCTAAATATTGGCACGTGACAAAAAATGGCGAAGGTACGGCTAATGTTCGCAGCGCAGAAACACTAGACGAAATCAATAGCCCTAACTATGCTCAATAATGAATGTAATTGCATGCATTAGGCAGGCTTTTGCCACATTAGATGAAAACTCCACACCAGGCCTTTTCCCATAGGGTTTCGCATTCATCAGGCGCTACTTGTTTTCATTTTTCCAGGACCTCAAGTTCAGTTCCTTTCGCTATCCACAAAGCCTGATGCAGGTCAGCATTGATCTACTGCTCAGGACAGACTCCTTTTAAGGAATCTAGTATTCTCTTTTTAGATTCTGCCTCAATTTAATGACATCTGCTAGGTATTCCCAGAGGACTGCTTTACCTCCTCGCTATTCATCATCCCCCACTATGTTCACAAAAGACATATGGCAGATGTTCTCGGAGCCTGCTTTATCCCCTCCTTTTTCATCCCTTCCTTCTGATGGGTTTCAAAATGAATTGTAAGAATCCTTTTAAAACAGGCAGAGCCTTTATACCTTTTTTTTTTTTTTTCTTTAGTAAGAGCAAACACGAGATGTGGGGAATTTGGCTTTTAGACCCTCTTCAGCCTGAATGGATTCCAGCCCAGCGTTACTTCCCAGGCAACATCCCATTCAACATTATGAAAAAGGTAGCCCATACTCAGGGAGCATCTTAAGGCTTTATAATCATGGCTAGTATTTTGTTTCTGTAATTATTATTTTTTTCTGTTGGACACAGTGTAAAGTACAAGACTCCTCTGAATGCTCAATACTACACTGAATCTCCGTCTTCTCCCCATCCCATGGCTCTAGCACTCCTATTGCACAACACTGGACGATGGTTAGAGCACTCTCCCATGAAGCGTGGGTTTTGCCCTCTCAGACAGAGATGGTTATGGAAACCAGCTTTACCACTTTATGTGTGAGTAGTGTAAGGAACATGCTATTAAAAGGGTGTGTTAAGCTTCCCTTATTTTATGTAGTTCAAAATGTACGTATTATTTCTACTGTGTTTGAAATGGGACTCATGCTGCCCAAGCTAGCTATCTAAAAGTAAGGAATCTTGTCCAAGGGTACAGTGTCAAATTGCATCTAATTTCAGGGTAACTACAGCTGATACAGACTGCAGCAACACTGCACTCCCCATGCCCACAGCTATGTGCTGCCATCACATTTCTTGCTTTAGATTTGGAATTTGATCCAATTCATTTGTGGCTGCACAATCAGCTGATCCAACTGAAAACTACCTCACTGCAGAAAAGTTCCCTGTTGGATCATGTCACTCATCTTCCTCACCTTGTAATTAGATCCCGTGCAAGGGAAGAGCTGGGAAGGAGCTGCTGGGGACTGTACACCAGCTTCACCAAACTGGATCAAGAAAAACAGGCACGTCCAGGGGATTATTCATCTATTTCTATTTCAGACCTCCTTCCAAAGATGCCTTCTGCAAAGGTCTGACTATTAATTTCATGGAGGAGCCTATCTGCCCAACACTTCTCTGATGCAGACCTTGTCTTCTGACAGCCTTATAGCAAGTTCGTTTTTTGTTTGTTTGTTTGTTTGTTTGTTTTTTCTTTTTAAATATATGCTACTTTTGTCCAAATAGAACAATCTCCAGGCATTGGTACAGGCATCTGTTTTGGCACATTTCGACTTTTATATATCGCACGGTTGTTCATGTACTGCTGTGTGATCAAGGTTTGCATTCAGTTAATTGCCACTGCAACTCACTTTCTGAGTTTTAAAGATGTAAAATACTTCTAAATTTAGTTATGAGTCACTATCAAATAACTTGCCCTGATATATATTCAAGTCATAGCACTATCTATATCTAAACAGTGAGAGTACCAGCAGTATTAGAAAACACTGCGTAAAAACTGATGAGTATATGCAAAGATGTTGCTGTAGGAAAATGTTATGATATGTAGGACATTCACTAGAGTTACATTTTCTATTTAAAATAGAAAAAAGCTGCAAAGTGATGCCACTTAATTATTTTCTGAACTTAGTATGGAATGTATTTAGGAAATGCACTGTAGTGGTTTATCTACTAGTTAACACAGAGAATGATTCTGTAAAAGACCACTGTAAACACATTAATTTTGTAATTTAAGAAAAGTAAAGTGTTAAAACCTACTACTTGTTGTCACTGACAACATTGTAAAATCTGAAGCAGCCAGTGTAGTCCAGTTTCTTCGCATTCTATAACAAAACTGGCAGCATGCACTAACAGACTATTTTTTGAAGATGAACACCTGCCCACTAAGAAACTTACCAAATCCAATCATGTTTTACTGCTTGACCACTCCGTATTCATCTAATCCTGATGAAGGGAACTACACACAGGTGCAAGTGCAGACATAACTCTTTATTGTTACATGTTAAGCCATGTAGAATGTTGATGTCTAAGTAGCTGTGTGTTTTGTTTCCTGTTGTTGTTGGTTGGTTGGTTATATAAAATATTGCTTATTTTTAAAACGTCGATAAGGTTTTTTTCTGTAGCAAGCTCAGTGCCAGATTCTGACGATACACAGTGAATCATTTCCCTATAGTCTTTTGCTTGGAAAGGATACTTGGAAACAGTAACTTACCTGCTAGGAAATTTCTGATACTTTTAGCAATCCCTTAGTTGATACACAGTTGCACAAGAAGTGTATTTTTTAGAGGAAAACAAAAACATTGTGTCCATTGGAGGGAAGGTTCACTGCAGTTCCTGTTCACTGGAGGAGAATTTTACTTGGCATCCCCATTTATTTTAGCACATATTACTTTGCTCGCTGCTGCACTGTCAAGATAAGGTGTATAACTCCAGGAAAATGTCAGTTCAGTGCACTGTTAACAAGGAGACAGATATGAAGACCAGTGGTTGTCTCTGGGATCAGTCTCACTGACCTTGGTTTTAACTGCATTTTCACTGCAGTCTATTGCATACATTGCTTTCCAAACTGGAAGATGGGCAGAAAAGAAAATCAAAGGAAGAGAGGAAAGTTCAGGACGGAGAAAGTGCCAGGAGTCCATTTAATCACAGCTTTTGTCTTTGACAGGGCAAGTACAAGATGTTTTGGATGGCACACAAGATGCTGTAATGCATAACAATGCAATGATATGACTAAGACAAAATTTATCCTGGTCACAAGCCACATGTAGGTATTCCAAACACTGGACTGCAATGATTCAGTTCCCATCCATAAGTTTATTGTGCACCCTAATATTTTGCAAGTTCCCAAATTGGATGGCTTGCTTATGGTATTCTTACACATTGCCTTATATAAAGATTATTCATGAAACATATCAAAACTGTAAGTCTGGTGTCCTGTGTTAGACAAGAAGTCAGGCCACAATTGTTTAATTGTCCTTTTTGGCCTCAAGATTTTTGAAGTATGCAAACAGAATTACATGAAGCATATACCTGGAGTTTCTTCAAACATTAGGACTAGGCAAGTAATCAAATAATAAACTTAATAGAACAATCCCATTTGCCCTGACCATGTTAGCAATCACTGTGCAAATTTCTAGTTAATATTTGCATGTATTTGTGCCAGAAACTAGAATTTGTCTTCCTATTTTTTTCCTCACTCAAAGCAGTACTTGCAGCTCACATTAAGTAATACTTAGTATGTTTACATTGCAGTTTTGTTAAATGATTTTGGATAACAAGTTCACCAAAGATAAACATACAGATGTGCTTATACTATTTGCTTTAGTAATCTTACAATGATGCTTTGTGATATAGCTGTAAGAAGCAGATAATTGGTGAGCTGCTGGAACTTCTGGGTGCCTGGGCTTCCTGGGGTGCTGGCAGGAGCATCACTCTGTGCCAGGTTCCTGACACAGCCACAGGGAACCACTTGTCCTAATGCTTTTTTTGGCACCAGCACCTGTTCTCAGTGTGGCCAAACTGACTACACCCAATATCTTTTCCTTGCTGATAACTTGGACCGGATTTCCACCAATGATGAGGTTAAAATTAATCTTTATGTTCTCTACCACTCTTCTAACAAAGAAGATAGAGATATTTCCACCAACCCTAATGGAATTTAGATTGGAACACTATTCCCTTGATAAAGAGCCCTTTTGAACTCAAGTCCTTGAAATAAAACTAAATGTCAAGCAAAGACTGTGTGTGCTACAAAACTAGTAATGGAAGCAGTCTCCTCTACAGAGATTGTAGTACTCACGTAAGCACATTACTGTAGAAATATACTGAAAATCAAACATTTTTTTAATATTACTGAAGTGTGCATTTTGTAAGCCATGTGAAAAACCTGCATGACACATGTTGGCAAGGTAGCAAAGCTTCTTTATTTTAAAAAATATTACAAGCTACAGGGAAGGGAACTTTAACAGTTGATTTTAAACATGTACTCTAACTCACATGAACAGTACCATTTAATTTAATGGTAATAACTTTAAGCTTTAAGCATTTTGTATGTTCTTCTGTATAATTAGAACATTATAGCAGAGTTAGCTTCTTGATACAGCCAGTCTGCATGCTGTGCAGAGAAGCCAATTGCACAGGCTACAGGCTGTGGGACAGGTCTATCCATCAATCTATCCAAGCCTAGCAGTGCAACAAAATGTCAGGCTAGTTAAAGAGCAGTACAGTCCGAAATATCCCATAAGGAAAATAATTATTTTACAGAGTCCAATTAGTCTGTTATAACAAAAAGCACACTGAGTGCTAAACCAATCTCACATAAGGGGGATATTCATCTCCTAACATGTGTGCATCCTTCAATACTGCAGTTTGAATTATACTTTTGTTTCTGAAGAGGATTAAATAGGACAATACGCAATGGCATCTCAAACCAGTTTATTTTCAGATATATAGAATCAACAGTTTTCATGTACAGATTTCTAAATGTTCACACCAAAATTTTTATATTTTCACATATAGTTTCAGCCTGTGTTCATGGCACATTTTTCTTCTCTGACTGCTAAACTATATAGTCAGAGGCTTAATATGAGTCATTTGTCTTGTGATAACAGCACAAAACCCCAGCTGTTTCAGACGTACCAAACAGAGACATCTTCTAGTTCTTTCCAGACGACATGCAATCCATTCTACACTATGTCTTTTGAAAGCATTTTCTATCCTATTCCTGCAGCCGTAAAAAAAAAATCATAGACACATGTGCCTGGATGAACTCAACACACTAAAAGTGCATAAACACTGTGTTGTTCAATCTAAACATAACTAAATCTAAACATAACTAAATTCTGTTTACTCACTCTTGAACACCTCACTGATAACTCAGAAAATCCCAAAAAGCCAAAAGCAATATGCAAGTCCTATACATAAGTCTGTTGTCTCAGCAGCTTGTTCTAGCAAGGTGTGTTAGGAACGTTAAGAGAAGAGAGGGCAGGGGGACAAACAGAATTTAAGCTAGTTATCTTTTTAACAATTTCTCCTTCCTTGGGATATAGTTATCATCTGGCATTCAGCTACTCTGAAGTGTATAAGGTGATCTCATGATGAGATCGGTGCTCATTCTAAGTAATTTCTGCAGGCATTTCATGGTAGATGACCTTCCCCTGTGATAGTGGAGCTGATAAGTCATTACATTATTTTCAGAGTACTGCTACTTTTCACCTTATAGGAATATTCCCATATTGGATAGGTAAATTTTGTAACAACAACAACAACAAAAATGTTGTAGAACACAACAGAAGAAAATAGTTCTCATAAAAGCATCACCTTGTGTTCCTGAAAATAATTTGGAAATAAAAGCCATTCAATTTTATAAGGTGTTGAGAATCTATTTGTGAAATAGGGAAGGTATAAAAGAAATGTACATTGATAATATCAATAATGAAGTAAGCTGGGAAAAATGTTCATTTTTGTAATAACAGTGTAGCTATTTATGGTTGGAAACTAGAGCAAGTAAAGGAGAACAGCCTGTGAAAGTTATGAATGAATATCAAATGTAATGGTGTGCTCACCTACCACACATAAGACCAACTATCTTAAAAGTTATTCAGAAATTTGATTTCAGACCATACTTGAAAAAGAGCCTAGTTGAGATAGATCGGTGTGTCAGTCATTATAGGAGTTTAAAAACTCTGCTGGTTTAAATAATGCAATTAATATATAAATTGATTCAGTTCCATTGGTTAAGTTTCTGTGTGTAGACAAAATTTGTGTTAAGAATCATTTAGAGATTTTTGGGGCCAAAAGGTGCTAGACAAAGTTTAAATATTAGAGGAAGACATTGCACTCTGAAAGAATTTGATGATGAAACAATTTAGAAAGCACAGTATTTCTAATTAAACACAGAGATTGTACTTAATGCTTTGAAAATAGCTGACATTTTATCAAAGTGTTTTGTAGTGATTCAGAAACTGCAAATTAGTAAACCCCAAATATATATTGGAACGCTGACAGAAAATATAATTAAAAAGAGAACAATAGAAAGCTTATGAAAAGGAAATTATGTTTTAACTAATTTATTTTGATTCCTGGAACACATCATCACAATAATGGTTAATATATATATATATACATTAACTTAGCAAACACATTTGTAAAAGGCTACTGAAAAAAATTTCACAGAACAACCAAACGTACGAAATAGTTAGAGGCTAAAGAACAAATAGCTCCATGGATCAAAACACGGGAGAGAAAAACAAAGAGCAAGTGTTCTTTGTCATGGGAAAAAGAAATCAGTGGGGTGTTTATGAAAACTCTGCAATAAGTCGTGCTTAATATATTTATAATAAGTGATTGGGAAACATGGGCAAAACATTGAATGGCAAAACTTGTAAATGACACAAAATGTTTAGTTAATTCAAATCAAGAAAGGATTGTACGGATCTTCAGAAATTTCTCATCATTTGGGTGAATGGGTAATGTGGTAAGCAAAAGAAATTGTACTTTCACAAATAAAAAATGTAATACTAGAGCAAAAACAGTGAGATACTTATCCTTGCTAATAAGTTCTTAATTAACTAAATCAAGTAAAGACAGAACTAGTTATAGTAAAAATAAATTGTGTATCCAAAATCAATGATTTTGAGCAAACAAATAACAAGAAGGAAAATAATACAGAATTTTAATGAAAATATTTATATATCGTTGCTTATCAAATTTCAAAAGCTTCTGTGCACAAGTATGGAAAGCATCAAAGGAAGGATTTAAAAACTGAAATTCCCTATTTCAGAAAGCAAGATTTGTTCTCTCAAATCTGCTGTGGAAAAATCTTGAAAGAGAAATGGCAAACTATCGTGCTAGTGGTATTTTAAAAATTACAATATTAAGAATTTGGGTCAGGCAATGACTTGTATCAAAATTTAAGATCAGAAAAACATCAGTGAAGTCACAAGTAGGCAAGTTCAAATGAGAGAAAAGCCACTTTTCACATACATGGTTAGTTTGTGATACCCATTTCAACTCCACATTCTCAAAGCCAATAAGCTGGGAATATAGAAATACAGAAAAAGTTTTTGAAAGCTTTGGAGTTTAAACCAACTTATAAGCATTACATTAAGATGAAATTTAGTCTCAGATAAACCACTTATTTGCCTACTATGCAGTTCTTTATGCTTCAGATAAGTTGGCAAAAGCTTTTGAATTAGGTCGCTTAATCCTGTGTGTAAATTCCTCTTTTTTTTTTTCTTTTTTTTTTTTTTTTTTTTTTTTAACTACAGGATTCCCAAATGGTGTTATATTTATGACTACTTGTACATGAAAAGTGCTTGTGTATGTGTGCATATATATATATAGGTGTGTGTGTATGTATATATATATATATATATAAACACTGGTACTTCCTATAGTCTTAGTAGCACATACCTGGTGCCATTTGCCAAAGTTTTGCATTTTTGCATATGTTACATATTCGCTGTTGCCAGTGGTATGAAGCTGAAAGCTGAATATCTGCTTGTGTGCTTTGGTAAGAAGTGCAAGAGGAAGTTTCTGTGTGGCATATCTACTGATCCTGTAACCAAAGGCCCACGAACCGAGACCACCTAAGTGTTTAAACAGTGAGATGACTTATCCCCATGCTAAAGAAGGTAGACTCGGATTCCTGAAATCTTTTGGGACTGACAAAGTAGGATTTCAAAGATAGGTCCTGACTTGCTTTTGGAGTTCTGCTGTCTGTATGACTGTGTTCAAGGGATTTGTCCCAAATGGCAATGCCTGGACCATGTCACACCAACACAGTGATGCTGCTTTGGGTCTGTAGCTAACAAAAGCTCTGTCCAGGCTCTGTTTTCATGTGCACAGGCTGCAGGCTTACAGTTTAGGACAACTTTTATGTTCATATCTCATCCTTCAGTCCATCAGCTGGTCTCTCTCTCTTCAGGCCATAGGAAGGACTTTTCCCCCTTGTCAGGGGGCCTGCCTCACTCTGCCTCGTGTATGTAGGGTGACACCGAGACACACCACACTGGAAGGGATCCTCTCCCTTAGGGGGACCTCTGAGCCTGGGGCCCCATGGACTTGGTCCAACAACTCCACCTCGCACCAACCGACCTCAAACCTCCTTGTGCTTTTATTTGTGGATGTGTTTGGTTTATATATACATTTTTTAAGACCGATATTTTCTGTCAGTGGCGTTTGGAGCCGGGGACAAGGCGCCAGCTTCCCGGTGTCGGGGGGACGCTGAGGGGCGGTGAGGGGCGGTGAGGGGAGGCGAGGGGCGGCCGCGGCCCCTTCTTCCCGCCCGCCCCCTGCCCGCCGCCGTGCCCAGGAAGCCCGGAGTGGCGGAGGGAGGAGCGGGCAGCGCCATGGGAGCGGGTGGCGGCCCCCGGGGCAGCGGCCAGATGAGCTGAGGGACAGGGCGAGCTCCAGCTGTCAGCGCGGCCTCAGCCCCGCCGCGGCGGGAGCCCCTCCTCCCCGCGGGCGGGCGGCTTCGCTCGCTGCCCTGCCGCGGGGGGGGAACCATGGCGTCCAGCGAGGAGGACGGAGGCGGCAACGGCTCGGTGGAGGAGAAGGAGAACGGCAAGAAGAGGAGCCTGGGCGCCCTGGCCACGGCCTGGCTCATCTTCTACAACGTCGCCATGACCGCGGGGTGAGCGCGGGCCGGCAGCGGGGAACGGGGTCGGCGGCGCGGCGGGGACCGGGAGGGGGGAACCG